CCGCTGTCTTTTTCTGTATGCTACTAATTTTATACTATTAAATTTCATCTGCTACATTTTCCGTGTTTCCCAGTTATTCCAGAATGACACTGTGAGTCTTCCACTAGCACTGTTTTCTGCCTGGGCAGTGAGCCCTCACTGGTTCAGCTGCCCAAGTCAGAGCAGTAGTTGGGCTAGTCCATGGAGAGAGGAGAGATCCTCCAGGCAGTGACTCAGAACTAGGCTGTCCTTGTGACTCACTCTCCAGGGGAGCCTCTTTCTTTCTGTTTAATACAGAAAGAGCCTTACAGGTAGAAGCTTTGGAGTCTGTCAGCAACTTCTATTATTGCATAAAACACCTCTGTGCTACAAGACCAGTCATGAAAAGAAGACCAAAGCAATTTGTAGAGGGTCAAAAAACGTGAGGCGGACAAACAGGCTGGGAGATTACCCTGAAAAATTCTGAAATACTCATGGTGGTACCCTCACTGTCAATAACCAGCTTGCAGTGGCTGCAAGCCATCATGGCAGAGCTGTGGCTACCCAGACTAACAGATCCTCGGATGAATGGAAAGGGAACCAGCAGGAAATTGGTTTTGTCCTGGTACACTGAATATTTAGAATTTCATTAGAGGTACATGTTTAATTCTGGAATCCACATTTCTTGATGGAAATTCAGAGTATGTACAGCCTGAACATTGCTCAAGAGAACCTTAGAAGGAAATGAAAGTTGGGCAGTGGAATAGGGATCAGGTAGAAACTGGAGAGTTCAATCTCACAGGAGTGCCTAACTAGATCTGGCAGCTAAGAGTGAAAGTAGAAAGAAGTCAGTGCTTCCTCAGTGAGAGCATCATTAATTATTTGGATGTGTTATATACGGAGGTTGTATATTCAGTGTTTCTTGAAGCCTTTAAGAAAAGGCAGTAATTTTCTAAAGAATGTTCTAAGGATTTTCCAGTGAACCTTCTAATGTCTCTGAGCCCAGAAAATCAGAGAAAATCATCACATCAAAACATATAGCCTAAAAGTCTATAAGAACAATATATTTGTCAGCTGTTAATAGTATTATTATCTTTCATTCTATTTATGTTTAGACTTTGCTATTTAAAAGTTAGTCAGTGCATGCAAATGTCAGAGTGTTCTGAGCAACCTTCCTGACTGTTTGTGTGAGGAGACACTATCCCATGCTTGCCTTTGAAACTTGGCAGGCGTGTCTGATCTGGGAGAGGGCTTGGACACAGAATTTCAGTGATGAAATCCAGCTGATGTTCAAAGGAAAAGCCTACTCCCAGAACGCTCTTAGGAGGCCACTGGGGAAAAAAGACACCATGAAAGAAAGCAATGAAAGTTATGTGTTATAAATTTATGTCATTTTCCTTCTTGTGCAAGTAAATAATTCAGGCAAAATCAGAAGTACAGGCTTTCACAACACTATTTGCCAGTTTTCTCTCTTCTGCCTTCCTGATGCTCATGTGCCTGAGAAGGTACATCAGGTCTACCTGTATTCCTCAGAAGTCTGGACCTGAAATCCTTTCTGGGTCAAAACTCCTGCCAAGTTACAGTACTGAATCCTTAACTGACTTTGCCAAAAATTACAAATACATCATATCTTCAGCACAAAGTGAATCCCTTCGTGGGCTCATCTGCTCCTGTTACCCAATTTTTGGAGACAGATTCCTTAACTTGTCCCTTTTCTGGGACAGGTAGAGGTCTTCGCCTCCTTCCATCAGAGATGTGAGCAGGGTTTTAGAGGAACCTCCAGGTCCACTGTAAATACTGAACCCACAGTGCCAGGAGTTGCGTCATTTTGCATATAGATGAGGAGCAGAGGTGCTCACTGCAGCAGTGAGCAGGGCAGATGTCAGCCTGTGAGATGGAGGGGAATCAGCTTGATGTGCTGTCAGGGTCTACAGGGAAGTCTGCTGCTCTCTTGTGGGGTGGAGTTCACCTACAGAATTAAATACAAATAAATACCTATTAAGGCTTTGATAGGAGGACAGAGGAAGGACGTGGGGAAGGACAAAGTTATGTGCAGGCAGTTGGCCAGCAGTGAACAGCTGGAGAGCACCTCACTGTTCACCAGGACTTATCCTTGTGCCAGGACAGTGAGTTGTGGGTCAGTAGGAGGTGGACCCCTCCCAGTGTTCAGCAGAGCTTTGCCTGCCTTTGGTGCTGAGCACCAGCATTTCGTAGGCAGCTCTTCCTTTCTGTTGCAGTAAACATTTGGATTATTCAAAAGGCTGACGCACAAAAATGTTTCCCTGCAGCTTGCCCTAGTTTTGGAAAATTTATACTTTTGTTCATGTTTCTGGCTAATGCAAGGTAGAAGGAGTAGAAGTTGTGCATTACATGAAAAATAACAAGTGATCAGAGCAGAGGGAGTACAATAAAATCATTCATTTACTGCAGCTGGAGTGGGAGCGCTCACCTGGTTCTTGGTGTATCTAAAGGTCACGAGGGATATGAATAGAGAAGAGCTATTCTTCTTTCTGTCGGGCTCATTTGCTCCTTTAAAAAGTGCCCCATTGCAATGAAAGATGAAATTCTTAAGGGTAAAACAAGGATATGTAGATATGACATAATCTGATGTCACAGTGTCACCAGTATATCAGAGGTAATGTCGGCGGGTGGCAAGTAAAGTATTTTTTTATGCTATTTTTTTATTCATTCTTTAGCTTCCTTATTTCCTTATTTTAGTTAGTTCTGCATATTTGTTTTTTAATGTCTCAATTCTTAACACTGTTTTTTCTTTCATTGTTTATTATCAGCCCTTGTGATTCTTCCAGGTACCAACTGTATAGCTTTAGGAGTTACTTCTGTATAAAGTCTCCCATATAAAACACATCTGCAAGGTCTGCAGAACCTGTGCAGGTATCACACACAGTAAATTTATTGGTGGAGAGATGAGATAAATAGTTTCTTGCAGGGTTTTTTTTGTCATTGTTTTTGTTGTAACACAAAGTTAGGAAAATACTGCCTCATGCAGAAACATCTGAATGGAAAAGTCAAAATTTAAAATAAGCTGCACAAACTATGACTTATTTCTGAATATATTTGATTACAAATATTTGCGTGCTTCTAAAGAGAGGATGCTTTGGACATAGCTAAAGGAGCTTTTAAATGCAATTCAGGAGCTCACTCAACAGTGCTGATCGACTGCCCTGTAGGTAGCATTCCCTCTGCCTGCAGAAGAGACTGAACCTTGGAGAAAAGGAAATGGGTGACTGTCTGTGAGGAAATTATCACCTCTCTTCACTCTACTGAATTATATTGTGATCTTGATGGGAATGGGAAGGATAAAAAGTAAACTAAAATCATTTGGGCAGCAGTCCTGCTCTAGTCAGGACAAATGTGGGGATGGGCTGAAAACCTTATTAGCAGTCTTCTATTTCCTGTTATTTTGCTGGGGACTTACTCTGAGTTGCAGAAGGCAGCAGCAAGATGGCAAAAGGAGATGCTTGTTGGCTTAATTGTGATGATTTGAAAGAATTAAATATGATTAAGCTGTATTAGGTGCTTTGCACTCGTACTGCCCTTTGTGCCTTGGGAAATGATTCTGGCAGGAGGCTGGGTTGCCCCATGGCTTGGCATCATGCCTGACACTTGGCAGAGACCTGGGATGCAACACTTCAGGGTGCTGGCTGCTCCTACAGGCTCTGCTTTGGAGGGTCAGCACCCTGGTGCCTTGCTCAGGACTGGAGGCAGGACATGGAGAAAAGAGAAGGAAAACACTGAAACAGATAGGTGGGAGTAGAGTAACTGGCCAGTCATGAAGGAAAACTGGATCAAATGAAAGGATGAGGTTTTTCTATTGTACTGAAGGAGCAATAGTTAACTCAGCAGCAAAAGCTGCTTTTTCCTGCAGAGGGGAGATGGGCAGGGTGATGTTAGATAGACAGGGGATGGCCTTTCTGCCTCATAAATGCGCAGTCATACATTGAATTTTAAATCAATCTGCACATACAAAACTCAGTGCAAGATGAGGCTTGACCTAAATTATGAAGAGGGTGGAAGTGGTAAGTGCAATATGGTCATGCAAATTACTTGGCTCAGTTGTAGGTATTTCTTTGGGTTTCATGTTAGGTAAAGATAATGCACCAGGAGAAGACTGTAATTGCATAATTTAGAGGGCAGCTTTCATTTTGTCCTGGGAAAGAACAAGCAATTACGTTTTTCCAGGAGAGTCAGAGTAGTATGTTTGGTTTTGTTGTGTATCACTTAGCCACCATGACTTTTAGGGGAACTGTGATTACTCCAGATTACAGGGTGGTAATCTGGTAATCTGTGGTTTGATGTATGGATTTCATTCAGAATCAGACTTTTTACTTTGCATTCAATTGTTAAGAGCTGGAGTGTTTGTTTCCCTGGAGGTCAGGAACCTGGGTCTGTTCCCTAGGTAGCTGCTGATGCCCTGGAGCGTTGGTGTGCCCTCAGAGGACTTCAGCTTTAAACAAAGGCAGCCTGTGTATAATCCACTCTGTTCAGAACTAGGAACCACACAGACATTTGGTCAAGAATGGAAGAGTTCTATGTTTGCAGTTGCTTTTAAAGGAAAGACAATTTTGAGGAACCCTTATTAATTTCAGTTGAATGAAATTCCTGACTTCTTGCATATGGGCTGTAGGTTGTTCTCTTGTTGTTCAGATAGGGGAACATTTCTTGAAGGAGATCATGTGGCCCATGATTGCCCTGCATCCCATGTGCACTACCCAGTGCATTTTTGTGTCTTACGCATTTTCATGCTGTAATGTTCCCTAACCTAGCTAATGGAATTCATCTTAGATATGAACTTTCTTGTATTTTGTCAAACTTAGCAAAACAAATACCCTGTTAGTCTGCCATGAGTTATTGAAGTCTTCTTCACAAAATGGGTGAAACGAGAAGCTTCTTACCAGGTTTCAGAGTCAAGGTTGTGCATATCACTTACTGTAAAGAGTTGTAGTTCAAACAGTATGTTTTATTCTGCTAACTTTAATGTACTTATTAGTTAGAAATGTTGATGCTTTCTCTTTTGTCTTCAGATGACACTGGCTGTCCTAGTAGCCAGTCAGTATCTCCAGTTAAGACTCCTCCTGATGCTGGAAACAGTCCAATCAGTTTTTGCACTGGTAGCGATGGAGACTTCTCCAGGAAGAAATTCAGTCCAGGGTCAATGAGTGAAGGGAATACACAGCTGGCTCGATATAAGAAGGAGACAAAGACAAGCCTTGTAAAGCCCGGTAAGTATAATTCCTTTCATTTCCTTAATTACACTTTCTAATTGACTGGTACATTTACGGACATCTACATACATGGCATTGTGCTGCCTGTGATACCACTAATGCTGATAGCAAATGAAAAAATAGTTGGGTTCTGCCTATGGAGCCAACTGCAAGATATGAAAACACTATTGGTATTGTCTTTTTCATGGAAATATAATTAATTGACACCTTCACTTTCTTTTATGAGGCTCAATGGTGATGTCAAATAGCTGAAATGGATTTCACCATGTTTCATAGTAATTGCACACATATTTCACTTCCCAAAGATAAATGACTCTTAATATGAAAGCAAAGTCTTGCAACATTCTTAGATTTATTATTGTATCCTGCCTAAAGTTTAGGCTGCCAAGCTGTGATAGCTCTGGGGATACAAGGTGTCAGACCAAGGCAAGAGGACGGGCAGCCCACATGTGGGATTCAGGCAGTTTTGGCCCCAATACTGCACTGGCTGAATCATGAGTGTCTCTCCCATTGCCTTGGGCTAGAGGGCCACCTCAGACCACCAGCTAAATCAGCACCTGCATGTCACACATCCAAGGCTAAATACCCTGGTGTGCCATTGGTTGCTGTAATTTTAATGAGTAGATATAAAATATTTTTGTGATTCATGTGCAGGTAGCTCTTGACTCCAAGTGGTCAGGATATTTGTGCTGTTGTTTAATTAATCATGGAGACAGAGCTGGCCCTGTACACAGCCAGCTGCAGAACTGACATGGTTTATGGGCTCAGGTACCTCCTGGCTTTATTGTTTCCAGGGTCATTTTACCTCTGGAAGCAATTTATATACTTTCATGAAAAGCCAGCTCAGATTTGCTGGTACCATATTTAATCTAGAAACAGCAGAGACTCTGTTGCAACATCTCTTCACTGGCTTGATCAATATGATTTACCACTATCCCTGAAAGTTCTTCAGCTCATTTCATAGCACCAGGTTACTTGAGTGTTCCCTGTCTCCTACTGATGTGCATAATGGATGATAGATAATATTTTTTCAAGGTTTGTTTTCTGTTCCATTAAAATCAAGGAATCTAATGCAGGCAGAATGCAGTGAACGTAGTATAAGACAGTCAAATCTGCAGCCATGGCTACCACAACAATTTTGTTTGTGAATATGAACGTGGCTTAGCAAAATGTGGATAATGAATTGCAAAAGTTTTTCCCTACTGAGGAACCCTATACACAAGGAAAAGAATTATGCAACTTTTTTCAATAAATTATTTAACTGTTTTCAATTTTACACTTAAATTGCCTTATAACATCAAATTATTAACCTTTTGCAGTAACAGTCAGAAGTCATATTATTGAATGCATTATTTCAAGTCTTTGAACAGATTTCATTTAGATATTTACATATTCTTGTAAGTGAGCCACTATGTAGCTGTCAGTACCTCTGCATTGATCTCTAAGGTTGCAAAACTTGTCTCTAGATTTCAAGTCTGTCGATCCTGAGATCTATTAAAACTCTCAGAGCAGCAACTGGGTCCCATTTACAGGGTACTTCTATGTTCCTTCTGTGAATATCTCACACTTTTTTAACGAAAAGGTTTTCAAAATCATGTCATAGTCAGTGTGAGAGCTGACATACGTGAGAGACATTTCAGAAATGGAAAGCATGACAGGGGACAGCCAGGGTTTGTTTTCCTCAGTGATGGCCACAGAGGTTAATGTGATTCTCTTCCATTGCTACCTCTTGGCTTCAGGTGGATCTGGTCTCTCTTCCCCATGACTTTCTCTGGCATGAATTTCTGGTGACTCAGTTGGAAAGATCTAGCTAGCCCTTGTGAAAGAGGAGGCATCACCCTGTAGCAAAACACGCAAGGAGTAACAGGGGACCAGTAGAAGGGAGGTGGGATGTGGGAGGAGAATAACAGCAACATGTTATACATGTTGTCATACCTAAAGGAAATTAGGCATAATTTTCTCTTTACCAAAAGCCCTTCTTGATTTATGGAGATTATTTCATATTTATCTGAAATGTCTTGTGATAATGACCACATAGCATGACTCAAACATGAGAGACAAAATTCCAGCCTTGCACTATCTTTTGCCATGTCCTGCTGCTAGCACCTTCAAAATGCCTCTCATTTTGCAGAAAATCTATCCATTTCCAGAAATGTTTTCTTGGAACATGCTGAATCTCAGAAGAAACACATACATAAATATTTAGATAATTCAGGAAATGTCAGAATGGGATAGCACTGAGAATGAACCCTGGGATGTTTTTAGGCTGTTCTCAAGCTCTGATATTTTTCTGCTGTTCTAGTTTCATCACTTCATCTTTCTTTTCTGACTTCAAAATATAAAATACACAAGATCTTTTCTTTTTCTCTATCTGCCTAAGGCCTTGTTATATGGATCTAAATCATCTTTACCTCTTGAAGTATTAACAAGCTAGATTGGGATATCATTCATAATTTATGTTGTTTTCATAGAGAGCCATACATAATCCTGGAATGCATCTTGCTAAACTTCTAAAATATTTATAATCATGGAGAAACTATAGATTTGAGAGAGTCAATAATTGTTTTTGTTGTGCATTAAATCCAAATCACAGCACTGTAGAAGTGAATTTGGCTTAAAACCAGTGCTACTTTCCCAGGGAAGGAGGGACAGGGCAGAAACATTAAGGATGATATATAACATCCACTCCAGGAGAAAGTTACAAGCCTTTTAATTTCTGGATTTTAAAAGTTGTTCTTCCTTTTGGATATGATTCATCGAAACAATATTAAAAGAAATGCAAAATGTGTTGCAGAAAATGCCCTCGCAAGAAGGCACAAAAATACTTAATTAACATTAGTCTTAGTTTTGTATCAAAATGGTGTGCCAAAGTTTTTGTAATTGAATAAACAGGATCATAAACACTTCTACATAGTCACATTTTTGGTGTAGTCCTCCTGCAAGGATTCCTGAATTCCTGCAGCTCATGTCTGCATCCTGTTGAGAACAGTGAGAATTGTTTTGCTTCCTTTGACAGTCTTTCTCATCTTCCTTTTTGACTTCCATTACAATACTTAATGAAAGGATTCAAAATCTAGATCTGCAGGCTGCAAAGTACTGATTTCAAAGCCATGGATGAAGAAGAGAATCTTTAGTGGGAGTTGTGTCAATAACTTTTAAAAGACTTGCATGTTTAAACTAACACGGAGTTGTGTTTAGATCTCTGTGAGCATCAGAATTTGAGAAGAGCACCTGATCAGCTGACTGTGTTCAGCATTTCTGACAAAGGTCTGGTCTTTCTTGCTTTTGATGTTATAGGCACACTTGGGACAGTTTACTGAATGTGCTGAGATTACTGTTGGAGCTGTTTCTTAGAGCCCATGGAATTTCTGAAGTTTCACATGAAATTACTAAGACTTTAGAAGAAACATTAAGGCTGTTCCAGACCCTATAGCCCCTTCAGAACCCTGCAGAGTAGAGATGTAAGCACCACTACACAAAAGGAGACCTGGATATGCCACAGTTAGGGTCAACTTCCAAACCTTATAAGGACTGGCTGTCAGTCATTCACAGCTTGGTTCAGTAATAATCATTCCAGGTAGCAACAGACTATGCAAAAAAGGGGGTTTTTTCACTGCTAATGAAACATCTAACCATCTGTTACTGAATCTGTCTAAAATAGAAACATTTTGGATTACAAGACCATTACTTTTCATGAAGGGTGATCATCCTTGAGAGTTTAGGCATTAAAACTTTGTTCTGTTCAAACTAATGACAAAATCTCAGAGGTTTTCACCACGTAGAGCATCTCCATTTGTTGGACAATGAGCAATGAGCAGAGACTGAAAAACATTAAATTGCATCTGAACACAAGAAAACATTTTTTGTACTGTGACAGTGGTCAGACATTGGCACAGGTTGCATAGAGAAGTTGTGGAGTCTTCATCCATGGACATATTCACGACTCAACTGGATATGGTCCTGGGTAGCCTGTTTCATCTAATCTTGCTTGAGCAGGGTGTTGGACTAGATGGTCTCAAAAGGCTCATTTCACCTCCCAGAAATTCTGTAATCCTGTGTTGTTAGACTTTTTTTTCCTTTAAATAATGCATCACCCAGATGGGTAGTTAAGTATTTGCAAGGAACAATTTATCCTTTTCCTGCCTTTTCTTGACTGTGTAAGTTCATAAAAATGAAAGTATATAAAAAAAGTAACTTTTAAGAATCACTATTTAATTTAAAATGCCATTTAACTTCAAGGCAAAGTAAGTAGTGTTGTACTCAACATGAGTTGTCAGAATTATCTTTTTTACTTCTTCCTGGTGAATTTATCAAGTGATGAATGAATGAGCCTTGGAGCAGGATACCCCAGGCTGAACAGATTACTCTTTGAAGGCTTTAGCGGTATTAAGAGTTTTAGAAGAGAGGAGTGAAGCAGAATGTATTTGCTTTATTTGATTGTTAGTATTTAGTAGGTGCAGGTGCTTTTTAATTCAGTGTTGGAGCTGATAGTGATCAAAAAGGAGGCAAGGGAAATTACCCTGGACAATTGGGAATATTAAGGTTAGATCTTAAATAAGCCAAACAAATCAGAGAGAAAGTGCAAGTGTTAGCTGCAGATTATCTGTTAAAAATGTCTAGCTGTTCAAATGCAATGCTTTTCCTGATTTTTTAGTTTTGTTTTATGTCTGGTGTGCGAGGATTAGATTCCCAGGACACTAAATGTCCAGAATCTTATTTCTGGAGGTCCCTTGTTAAATCAAAGAGTAGTGACTAGTTAATCTGTTAGTATAAAATTAGCAGATAAGTTTGTCCATATTGCCACTCTGTTTCTACATGTGTCTGTATTCTAAAGGCTGTCACTTAGGTTATTTCAAAACAAAACAAAGAGGTTTTCAATTAGGTTATATTCCTGACATCTGGCCATATTAGTTTACAGCCCTTTTGTCAACTCATTCCCTCATTTCAGCATGACAGTGTGGGAAGGAATAACAGTATCTGGCTTTGATATATATGTA